GCAATTAAACATACGATAAACTTATTCATTTCTCGTCAAAAGTAAAAATGAATACTAGTCAGGGATGTGAAATGATAAGCACTACCTATGATTCAACTTCCCTTTACTATTCCATTAAAGATTCAAAAGAAATATTTTTATGAAACAAATTTTGTCTTATACAAAACTGATAACTCGGACTCACAAATGAAGTGTAATCAGCAAAATACAAATGTCAACATCGGAACTTCGAATTTTAACTTGTTAGATGCTCCTTGCGTTCTTAACTTCTTACAGCAAATCAGACATGCATGGCCGGAAAATAGATTAAAAAACTTATCTACATGGTATTAACAAAATGTACAGAAATGCATAGCTTATACGCACTTGAATATAAGCAAGGCTACCTGACATTATACTATTATAGAGAATAAAGGGCTTCTGATTATGAGTTAAGCACGTAAACAAAACTTAAGAATAAAAAAATGACCGAAGTCCAGGTATTGACCTAATGGAACACCTACACAAGCGTAATATCAAACAGGCTGCTATTGGATGAGAAGATAGTCATACCATTGATGTGAAGCAACTCAAAACAGGTCAAGGTGTTTTATCTCAAGTAAATTTTAAGCCACGTGTTTGGTGGGCAATTAGAAATTCCATCTTAAACAGCAGACATAAGGAAGAAAATGACTTTTTCAAAAGTTAAAACAGAAGACACGAGAAAGATGATGCAGCTGTCACTTGGATCTAAGATGTTTTTACATTTTTCCCTGTTTATTTTATGAAAATTGATTGATTATTACAACAATTTGCACACCTCACAACTTCCATATGTTTAGTGCCAAGTTGATTGCTTAAGTTTTAACCTCATCTTAATTATCATGCACCAGCAGAGCCACACAAACACACAAAGGCTACCAGGATAAGGGAGGACGAATCAGACTCCAAAGAAGCTATCTTTCTCTGCTTTTCCAAACTTAGCAAGCATACTTGACCCTTCGAATTTTTCATCTGCTCTTCCAATAATCGTTTTGTTTCAGATATTGCTGCAATAAAAACGAGGCACAGTTCAAAAGTGTAAAAGGCAACAAATTACTGAAGAACAAATGGCAACTTAGAATATAGTTTCAAATCTGGAACTCAATGCATTAAATTGCTCGAAATGTTCAAATGGAAAATGCTGGAATTCTAATTTCCCAACTAACTACAAATTAAAAGGAAAACTTTAATGACTAAAACATCTGGAACTCAATACAATTAATTGCTAGAAATGTTGTAAAGGACTTATAAATAATCAAAAGCAACCCTTGAATAACTACAATATTCAAACAAGTTGAACACAGGTCCAACCAATCAAATGAATCTCATGCCTAAATCTCACTCCTCGTATGTCTGAGAACCATAGAGTAGCCAGTTTCAGTAAAGAATCAAGGTAGACCTGATTCAACAGTTTGAATGTCCTTTATAAATTGCTGGCATTTTCTTCACATAATTAGATTTAAATTTACACTCAAAATGAGTCAACTGTAGTAGGAAGCTGGGGAACATAATTCGATGTTGCGCCATATGAGAAAAAATACAGGTATTAGATTGAAGGGAAATGAATCAGAATTTTGCACTCATTAATTTAAAACACGAAATTAAAGATTGATCACACTCCCTGCACAGATACACAAATTGAGAACATACATTATAAAAATAGGACCGGTGATATTCATCAAGGTCATGTGCACAAATTTTCTAGTGTGCTTCCAATTAAAAAATTATAGTTAATAGTTATGCATGAGAAGTTGATTTTTTTTTAAATAGTATGTTATTTGAATAAAATGAAAACTTGTTTGATTACTTGTTTCACGAATTATGGATTGATTTTAGGAGTAATAAGTTATTCAAAAACAGAATCAAAATAATAATTTAAAAATACGTAAGTAAGCTGAAATGTGCAGAATTAAGTTTGTTTTTCGAGAAATTGAGTCAAATAAGCACGAAATATAAATGTGAAGAAGAAGGAAAGAAGATGTTCGCGTCAGGAATTTCCGTCGGGGACGTTTCCTAGCCGACGAGCACACAGCTCCCCGGGAGGTTGGCGCCGGTTGAGGGCTGCTGTCGAGCTTCTGCTTCACTGTCGGGCTTTGTCGGGCAAGGCTCATCGGGCAAGACTCGTCAGGCAAGGCTTGTCGGGCAAGACTCGTCAGGCAAGGCTGGAAGAGAAGGACAGCGTTAACTTTGAGAGGTGTCTTTGTGGGGCCTTAGTTGTAGGCCTTGAGGCTCACAATCAAGGTTAACTTCTAAGTACTCAGGCGTGCCACTGCCATCTTTAGCATGGCAGATGTAAAATGGATGTCGAGTTTTAGTTGTATATATATATATATATATATATATATATATATATATATATATATGCCTGAGAAACCATGTTAGTTATAACAGGTGCCTTTGTGGGGGCCTTAGGTGTAGGCCTTGAGGCTTCCCATCAATAACTAAACCAGTGCTCGAACACATAATATTTGTTCCATTGATTGCAGGAGTCTTACAACTATTATACTTCTGATTACTCGAATCCGAAAGATAGAACGAACCCAAATAGGTGCCTTTGTGGGGCCTTAGGTGTAGGCCTTGAGGCTTCCCATCAGAATTCGTTCTTATATTCAAACGTTCTAGACCACGGAACGGAATGAATCCAAATAGGTGCCTTTGTAGGGCCTTAGGTGTAGGCCTTGAGGCTTCCCATCAGAATCCATTACATGCTTAAGCGTTCTATGATAATCACAATATAATAGAAATAAAACTAAGGGGTAGGTCGATTACTTGCGCCCCAAGTAACTTCGGACTTCTTGTTTATCAAGGACTATCGTGGATGGGTTAAGTCCACATGAGGTTCTTTTTTATGCCTTGAGTCCAAGAACTTTCAACTGATCAAATTTACATGCCCGAGGGTTTAGAACTTAGATCTGGTTTGAACAATGAAGATATATTCAAATCGGATCCAATTACTGAGAGATTCTTTTAATAGTCATCTTACTAGAAATAACTTGAATACAGCTGGAAGTATACAACATATTGCTAGGCTAATGAATGAAAAGACAAAAACAAAGAAGGTCGGGCAAGGTTTAACCTTGTCGGGCAAGCCTGGTCGTCTTGCAGGTCCCTATCTTTGTGGCTTATCAAGGGTTTGAGAGCTTTAGAGAGAGGTAAGGAGAGGAGTTTACAAAGAGAAATCGATACTACAGCAAGGTTGAACAGGGTAGCAGAGTTATTACAAAGGTTTGAGTGAAGGCTTGTCCCGAGAGGGATGAAGGCTTGGGCTGACTACAACTTTGTTTTGAAGGCAAATCTGGCTTTGAGCAGAGTTTGTGCTTGCATTTGTTTGTTTGATTGAGTGTCCTTATTCCTGATTTCTCTTTCTTCTTTTATAGACAACTCAGCTTGGCCTCTTGTGGCAGCAGCCTTGCCCGAATGCAACTTGAGATGCAGTGACTCATCAGCTATTTTACTTGTCCTGCCATTATAAAGTACTTTATGGACTGTATAGCTGGTCAGTCTATACCACTTGGCCTTTGGGTAGGTGAGCAAGTGGTTTTCATGAGCTGCACCAAGTCAGAAAAGCCCTTTTTCTGCTTTCTGGGTTTTGGCTGGGCTTAGGCCGACTCTTCCTTTAGGCATCCTTTTGGGCCAGCCCCTTTCCTGAGCCCAAAGTTCTAGTTTTGATCCAAACAGTGCCCCCTTCAATTGATATTTAGCCTAGAATTCCAGGCGCCAATATTGATTGAAAAGCTCCTTATTAAAACCCACAAATCCCTTGCATTCGAACCCTCCAATCCCCTATGTTCACGGCAAGAAATCCCTCTATAATTTAAAAAATTCCTAATTCTCCCAGCTATTTCTCTTCTCTTAAATCTTTCAGATTTTTTTTCACTTTTTTGCTCGATATCTTTCACCATCGTCATCTTCTTTGGTATCCCCCTCTCAAACTTCATCAACCCAACCATCCTACGTATCTGGCGAAGGAATCGCCACTCTGCGTGGTCTACTCAACGGGCTGCATCGCCCTCGGGCAGGTTTGCATTCCGATCTCTTCTTTGAGGTGCATGGGGCACAATCATTGGGTCCCGCATGGATCTCTCGGGTCCTTTCAGTGGTAGAAAGCAACATGCCCAGGGATAATTGGTTTTCCCCGAATCCCTTTTTGGCTAGGTCGGGCATATCTTCATCCAAATGGTCGTCATACCATCGAGGCTTTCCTCTAATGAACGATCCTGCTTGGGCTCAGTGGATTGATGAATTAGAGCCCACATTTAAGAAGAAATGGATGAGTAATGGTATTTACGAATTAATCATGCTCTCGAAAATTTCCATTACTCCCAAGCCCGAATTGCTTGCTTCTGCCCTCCTTTTCTGGAATTCGGGCACGAATACTTTCGACTTCCGCATGGGCCCCATGTCACCAACCATTCTTGACATGGCCCAGGTCTTCGGGTTAAGGCCATCAGGCAGGATAGTGGACGTCACACAAGACTTGGTTCCTTCCTCTACCACTGGAAGCTCAGGTTCATCCACTACTTTCCTTTCTTTGAACTATAACTCTGCAACTTTCAAGAGTTATGGGACCTCCTTCAAAGGCTTCATTCCTTTCGTAAAGGAGAATTTTGGGGCAAGCTCTCCTCGGGTTAATAAAGATCAAGAACACATGTATTTCCTCTTATACTGGCTTAACAAACATATCTTCCCCAACAAGTCTAAAGGGGGTGAGGGTTGAATGGATCCCCTTAGTAGAAGCTCTTCATAATTTCAATGATGTAGCTACAGGCTCATTCCTCATTTCTCATCTTTATCATCTCCTTTTCGAAATGACTCAAGGCGCCATTTGAGACCAACCTGAATGGGCCTATCTGGATGATACAAACCTGGCTTCAATGGTACTTCCCAGAGTTTCGGGCTGCCAATTTGGAGTTCCCAGAGGGTGTGGCCCCTGCCCGAATCTTGGTTGAAGTTGCCCCTATAGATCACTCCACCTTTGCCTGCTTCTACTTCTTCAAAGTTTGTAGGACTCGATCAGATTTAGAATGGGGTGCGTCGGTCTTGAGGAGATACCCTTGGTTTTCTGACCAAGTCTTTCAAGATGCTCCTGGTGAAGATGCTACCCCCTCTTGCAGGGAGAAATTCATTAGCTGCATTCAACCGAGAGACCTGGGCTGGGGAGTTCGGGGTAATAGATATGACCGAGGTTTGAAGGTGTATCATCCTAACTTTTGCAGCAGGCAGTTAGGATTCAGGCAGGCTATTCTCGTCCCGTTCTTCGATTCTATCCATTGTGGCACTTCATTTTGACTACCAACTCCCTCTGAGGTGATCTTCCGAGCTGCCCGACGCAGTCTTGACGTAATGAGTCAGGCTTCCCGAAAGTCCATCATCCTCAACTTTGAATGTACTTTGCTCTTCTCTTCTTGGTGGAAAGACAGATGGACCAAGAAGTATGGAGGAGATTTGAAAGAGACTCATGACCGCCTTTTCAGTCAACTTTCTCTTAAGTCATACCCCGGCTCGGGCGAGCTTGAAAATTGGAAGGAGATGATCCAAGAGAAGAATCGGTCACTTCTGATAGGTACTTCTCTTTTTAACCTGATTCTGTTTCCCTTCTGAAATCCTTCTAACCTTACTTTTGCTTGACCCTGCAGCCCTAGTGGATGTTGAATCAGAAACCATTGAGTCCGAGGATGACTCAGCTGATGCTGCAGTTCTCCATGGAGCTACAACAGAGGCTGAAAGACGAGAAGCTGGGGAAGGTGTGGATGTTTCGGAATCCTTTGGAAATTCAGGAGCTGAAGAAACACCCGAGGCAATTATTAAAGCACCCAAGCGAAAGAAAGCGGCTGTGATCGAGGCTTCAGATCCTGATCCTGCACTTCTACCCAAAACCACACGACCAACTCTTACTAGAAAGAGTAAGAGAGCAAGAACTGTCGCTCCTTCTAAGTCATCAGCCCCATCTGCTCCAGTCCTCGAGGCAGGCAGAAAGAAGCAACAATCTTCAAGTAAGTTTCTGTTCTTCTTTACCAAACTGCTACCTTTCTCCTTTATCTAATTGCTTCTTGTTTTCCTCGAAAAACAGGACCTCAAGCATCTAAGAGACCAATCATTGCTTCTAAGGAGGAACCGTTAAGAGCTGCCATGCACAAAAAGGCTGAAGAACTGCAAAATACCGCCCTTAAAGAACTCGAGGTATGATTTATATTTTTTATCTGTACACCCCTTCTTGCTTTCACAGAACTCAAAATCTGATTATTCGAATCAGGCTGCAAGAGAGGAAAAGCTTCTTCCGCCCGAGGCCTCCCCATCACTTGCCCGAGAAACCAGCCTTTCTCCTCATCAGGTCAACCCTTCAGAGGTACCTTTTCTTCCTTTTTCAACCCTTAGGTAACTCTATAGTTTCTGGACTTAATGCCTGAATCTTTCTTCTTCTTCTATCTGTATTTAGGCTGGGGCATCTGCCTCCTTGCCTAGTCATGGCCCTCCTCTGAAGTTTGTGATTTCTTCTCCTGCCCTGGATGCAACTCATTCCTCTCAGTTTGATCCTTCTACAGGAGTTATGTTGCACTTCGTGGATGAGGGCAGTAACTTGGTGAGCCATTATTCCCGAATTGAATTCCTGTATATTGCTTCCAAATTAACTCCTACTCACGTTTTCTGCAGCCTTATCCAGTATATGAGCCACCCCCTCCATCAGTGGTATCAGATAATGAACCCATAGTCCCTGAGATTCCTGTAACCTCAAAGGTAATAGTCTCACGGGTGCCTGCTTGCCCGATAGTTGATATTGATGAACCTCCTTCTTCTCTTGCTGGTGGTGGAAAGTCTTCCCCTCAACGAGGATTTAGTACTCTTCCTGGTGAAACCCTAGGGCTAAGTCAGGTACATTTCTTCTTTCCAAAGCCTCTTTTTGCCTCAAACTGTATTCTTGTCTTGACCTGGTCCTTTTGGCTTTTCGCAGCAAGTCCTGAAAGAGACTTCCCCCCTCGTTTGGTCCGTAAGTCAAAGCGCTCTCGTCCTCATTTATCTTCTGGAGGTACAGAGATTCCCCCTTCTGGAATTGAGAAGATCAGGCAGACAGAGATTGCCCCCCAGTGGGCATTGCTCCATTAGAGGAAGCTGCAGTGCAGGATCCTCCTCCTTTTCCATCCTCAAACCCTGCTAAGTTGCCCAAACTTTTTGAAGCACTCGGGCGGCTTGAGACGAGGTTGAAATCTTCAAGACATTCTTCAGAAACCTCCAGTTCTTCAGAGCAACAACGAGTCTTCCAAGAATGGGCGAGGAATGACTACACTGCATCATTCAGCCTCAAGGCTCTTTGTGACTTAGAAAAGGTCACAATTGAGTCTTTCAAAACTGGTCGGCTATCAAAACATCAGCACGATTCCTTTCTCTCTTTCTTTGAGAATTTAAAGGCTCTTAGAGAGCAATACCAGAGAGCTGACAGACAAGCTAATCGGGCAAGATGCTTTATGGAGAAAGAGTCAAGCACCTCCGCTCAAGTTGATCGGTTGATGGATGAAAGCTTGCAGACAAAAGAAAGGGTTAGAGTTGTTACTTCTGAAATCCAAAAGCTGGAGGAACAACTGGTTGCTCTTAAAGCTGAACAAGAAACTCTTCTGGATACCCTTGAAAACCAAATTGAGGGAGTAGAGAAGTTAAACTCGGAGTTAGAGCATACTAGGTCCCAACTTGTAAATAGCCATACTGTTTTGGCCGAACCTAGTAGGATATTTGCCATTATGCAGACATATCATTCTCGAATAGTTACCCTGAGTAAAGATGTTAATTTTTTAGAATAGGATGATTTGTAACCCTTTTCTTATTGGAATGAAAATGTGTTTTGTCCCCTGCTCTGCTCTTGGTACTGTTTGAATTGACTTCGGGCAACTCTTTCCCCCCTTGTTTACTTTCTTCTTTCTTCTACTTCCCTCGTCAGCACCAATCTTAGGGCCTAATCTTGATTCCTTGGTCCCCTTCATGGTACTTTTATTCATGCAGGGGTGTTGGGACAACCTGGGATCTTTTCTTTCTTCTGTTGTACCAACTGGTGACCCTGGCTCTTCTTTTTAAATGAGGTTGATCATATTGATAGGAGCCTCCTGGAAAGGGTTTGTATCCACCATCATACTGGCTTGGGGCTTGTCAAGTAACAGCTTTCCCTTCACTATCAGGTCTTGTATCCAATCTCTAAACTGGACACAGTTGACTATGGAATGGTTGAAAGTATAGTGTAGCTTACAATACTTCTTCCCTCTGAGTTCTTCTGGTTTGGGCATCTTTTTAGTACTGTCGGGTAAAATTACTCTTGCCCGCACCAGTTCTTCATAGATCTCAGGTGCCTTGGTCAGATCGAACGAATAACTCTGGTACTTGGGTGGTTTCATGGGGACGAAACCACCATCGTTCATTACGATCTTCTGATCTTTGACAGGTTGGACCAGCCCTTTTACAGTCAGTGGTTTGAAAGGTGTGGTCATTTCAGCGGCACATACGTCAATGTCTTCTTCATCATGGCCACCCTCATGCTCTGGCCTGGTTTCTCCTACTTCCACACGATGAATTGCAGCTTTGTTTTTGTAGAAGGGAGGAACCTTGGAAGTGTGCTTCACTTGTTGCTCTTCTTGCAACAGCCTCTCATACTTAGTGGCAGCAATTACCAATTCTTGCAGCTCGTTGAATTGTGTATCATAAAATCTCTTCCTTAAAGGTAATTTCAGAGCCCTTTGAGCAATTGATATGAGTTGCGCTTGGTTGAAGGGGAATTGGCATCTCATCCTTATTTTTCTAAACCTCATCATGAAGTCCTCAGTAGATTCATGATCGTATTGTTTGACTTCAACAAGGTCATTGATAGTCAATTCTGGCTCTATTCTGTAAAATTGTTCGTGGAAAGCCATCTCCATTTGCCCCTAGTTGGCAATAGAGTTAGGGGGTAATAGAGAGTACCACTGAGATGCTAAACCCACCAATGAATTCCCAAACAATCTCAATTTGTAATTTGGGTTGTCCTCATATGCCACACAATGATTGGAGAATTTGAAAATGTGGTCTCTGGAGGACACGCTACTGTCTTCACCTGTGAACGTTAGGAATGCAGGCATCTTGAAGTTGAGATGGAATGGATTTAGCTCGTCAATATATTCAGGATAAGGCTTTTGGTAAGTGACCCTGAACACTGGGCGAGCCCGCGGTTGAGCATTTTGAGTTACTGTCCTTCTTAGCTCAGCCAATTATTCCCTCAGCTGCTGAGTAGCTGAATTATCATCATGACCGATGAGAGCAGATTCGATCTTTGGGCTCCGGTCGTTGCCCGCACCTGCTTCTCTCCTCGGTTCGGGCTTCCTCCAGTTAGTTCCCTCTCCCTTATTAGCCAACGGGGGTGGCTTGTAAGGTGGAGGTTTATCTGAAGTAGTGGTGCCTTCCTTTCTGCTAGTCTCCCCTATCATTACAGGCATTCTGTACTTCGTTCTCTCTTGCTCGCTCTGCCTCCTATTATTAAATGATAATAATGGGAAGCTGGGAAGCTCTTTCTCCAGAACTGGCTCTATCACAGGTTGACTCCCTTCAGGAACTACTTTATTCTTTCCTCTATCCTTTTCTTCTTCTAATAGTGGGAATAAGGGAATGATTGGTTCACTTCTCATGGTAACTTGGCTCATCCCACTTCCCTGAGCCCCTTTTGGAGTAGAAAACTCCAGATCAAGTATTCTCTATAGATTCCCTGTTAATGTACAAAGTCTACTCACTTCTCCCTTGGTTTCCAAGGAGATTCTTTCCATGCTTTTTAGTACTTGGATCATAGTAGCTTGTAGTTCTTCACTAGTTCCCTTTCCTTCCGATCTCTCAGATGAAGTTGGGCTTTCTAGGACCACTCGTCCTGATGGGGAAGAAGGATTTCCTGCTTGATCTGCCATTTGTAGAAGAAAAGGTTGAGAGAAACCCTCATTCGGATTCTTTTTGCCAATTTTGTGGCTTTTCTTTTTGGACAAGCAAGATCAAAGGGTATATAATCCCACCGGGCGTGCCAAAACTATGTTCGCGTCAGGAATTTTCGTCGGGAACGTTTCATGGCCGACGAGCACACAGCTCCCTGGGAGGTTGGCGCCGGTTGAGGGCTGCTATCGGGCTTTGTCGGGCAAGGCTCGTCGGGCAAGACTCGTCAGGCAAGGCTTGTCGGGCAAGACTCATCAGGCAAAGCTGGAAGAGAAGGACAGCGTTAACTTTGAGAGGTGCCTTTGTGGGGCCTTAGTTGTAGGCCTTGAGGCTCACAATCAAGGTTAACTTCTAAGTACTCAGGCGTGCCACTGCCATCTTTAGCATGGCAGATGTAAAATGGATGTCGAGTTTTAGTTGTATATATATATATATATATGTGCCTGAGAAACCATGTTAGTTATAACAGGTGCCTTTGTGGGGGCCTTAGGTGTAGGCCTTGAGGCTTCCCATCAATAACTAAACCAGTGCTCGAACACATAATATTTGTTCCATTGATTGCAGGAGTCTTACAACTATTATACTTCTGATTACTCGAATCTGAGAGATAGAACAAACCCAAATAGGTGCCTTTGTGGGGCCTTAGGTGTAGGCCTTGAGGCTTCCCATCAGAATTCGTTCTTTATACTCAAACGTACTAGACCACGGAACGGAATGAATCCAAATAGGTGCCTTTGTAGGGCCTTAGGTGTAGGCCTTGAAGCTTCCCATCAGAATCCATTACATGCTTAAGCGTTCTATGATAATCACAATATAATAGAAATAAAACTAAGGGGTAGGTCGATTACTTGCGCCCCAAGTAACTTCGGACTTCTTGTTTATCAAGGACTATCGTGGATGAGTTAAGTCCACATAAGGTTCTTTTTTATGCCTTGAGGCCAAGGACTTTCAACTGATCAAATTTACATGCCCGAGGGTTTAGAACTTAGATCTGGTTTGAACAATGAAGATATATTCAAATCGGATCCAAGTACTGAGAGATTCTTTTAATAGTCATCTTACTAGAAATAACTTGAATACAGCTGGAAGTATACAACATATTGCTAGGCTAATGAATGAAAAGACAAAAACAAAGAAGGTCGGGCAAGGTTTAACCTTGTCAGGCAAGCCTGGTCGTCTTGCAGGTCCCTATCTTTGTGGCTTATCAAGGGTCTGAGAGCTTTAGATAGAGGTAAGGAGAGGAGT